TAGTTGTGGGTGGGCATAGCCGCCATCCCATGTGGGAGTGGAACCGGCAGCCTTGTTGTTAAGAGCATGCTCTATCCACTGAGCCATCCGGGCGGCAGCTCAACTCAAGGTGCCGAGTTCAGTCTTAGTTGCGGGTGGGTATAGTCCACCATTGAACAGGCAATCTTGTTACACCAACTGAGCCATCCTGCCACTTGTTGGCAGCTCAGCGGCAGCTCAGCTAGGATGCAGCGTCACTGGCCCATGTGGGAATCGAACCAGTGGCCCTGTTGCTCAGAGCTCACACTCTTAAGCCAACTCTTAACCAACTGAGCCACTCGCCAGCCCAGAATCGGAGTTCTTTTGAGTGAGGCAGCGTCTGTAAGATTTCTTCTATTTTTCCCAAATCCTTGAGCCTGCAGGGACCATAAGCAGGAGAAGGCTGAGAGGCTGGATGCAAGGAATGACCCTCTCTCTGTAGATAGTCCTTGGGGTTCCTGTAGAAGAGACCTGCCTGCAGCCCTTGTCTCCCCCTTTTCTCTTGGCTGGAAGACGTGGTAGGGTCTGTGAGAGGAGGTCAAGGACCTTGAGTCTGAGTGAGGACCAGGGATGGGACTTATTAGTATGACAGATGGTAGCTTATCTTATGCTCTTTTGGCCACTGATGACCTTGGGCTTGATGAGCAACTGTAATCCAGCCTGATCTGGAGAACACTGAGGAGGAACTCCTGTGAACACTAAGGCTCATCCCGGCAGTGCTTTGCTGAGCAGTAATTATGTAACTGGCTGTGCCCTGAACTGAGCTGAGTTAACCTCTTACTCGTGTCAACTTCAAAGGTTAGGCTTGTGGGTCAGGAATCCTTTGTGGAGACTCCAGGGTAAGAACCCTGGGGCATGGTAGTGTCACCGGTGCAGGGGTCCTTGCCCCTGTCAGGATAGAAATCAAGAGTGGCCAAACAGGTTTGCAGAGAGAAAGGTTTATTAAAATGAAAGCATGATGCACCAAGGGGGCACACTGGAAGAGAATGGAGGTGGCACCCCGAGGCTTACAGGCACAGCGGTTTTGTGGGCTCTTGTGGTTAGGGGGTCACTCCTTCCCCTTTCCTTTTGCCCTCCCCAAAGTATGTTGAAGTGGGCTCTTCCCTGCACCTGCGGTGGCATGACTCGTTAGCATTTTAAATCTCCACCTAGGGGCGTGTTTATTATGATAATGATATTTTAACTACCTGAAGGCTCTTTTAACTAACGTGCATGTGTGACTTTATGAACTTTCCCTGGGCCAGGTTCTCTCTTCTGTGTGTATGGTTCTAACTGCTCACTGTTTCTTATTGGCCAAGGGATGTGGCCCAAGGTTGTTTACCCCAGCAGCAGGCTATGGCTATGTGACTAACGACCACAGTGGTGGCCTGCGTGCCTGGCCTTGCCCTAGCAAGTCCGGTGGTGTTGGAGTCAGGCAGCATGGGGTCAGGCTAGGGATCCCAAGCCAGGATGGATGCTGTGGCCCCGAGGGCACCTGATCTCAGGGCAAGGCTGCCCTTTTCCTCGACAGGGAAGTGACCTCCAGCCTCCATTCAAGGAGAGGGTTAGTCTAGCTATCATAATTACAGGTATTCGTCCTCTACCCTCATGCAGGTTACCTCACATGAACAGGGCTGGCTATTATCTCCATCCTGTCCATTCCTAGCCACTTCCTCCCCAGGGCCCAGCTTGCTTAGCATTCCACTGGGGTGATGGAGCCAGCTTCAAGTTCAACCTCTAATTTGCATTAAGCTGACACTGAAGTTATGGAAGGAAAGGTCAAGCCAGCTATGTGTCTGGGAGTTGCTCCCTGCTACAGAGCGTTCGTGGGATGGATCTGGTGAGGATGATGGCAACATCCCCGGAGAGGAAAGCGTTTTGAATGTTTACCAGCACTCCTGTCTTCTCCATGCCTCCTGGCCTCAGACCGGAGCACTTGTGGTAAAGTGGCCTTCCTGGAATTAGGATTCATGTCAAATTTACATATCAAAGCATCTAAAGATGTTACTTTCCTAGTTAAGGACAAACAGATTTTTTTTTAATTCTTTTTAAAGTTCTGAGTTTCTATTGATATTCGCTATTAAAATTTATTATAAGAGGTTTTTGTTTTTAGTTTTTTGTTTTTTTTAAGTTTTTTTTTATTTTATTTTGAGCAGCCTCCTTCAGGGAGGCCTTGCGGGCATCCCCACTCCTCAGCTGTCCACCTCCCCACTCCTGACTCCACCTGTCCCCACCTCTGTTATGGCCCCTCTCACCTGTATTCACCGTGATTCATTGTGAACTTTGCTTTTTAAGACCAAACTGAATTCCTGGAGAATTAGCGTCAGTTTTCACATTTTAAGGCTGTGTCTGGCACAGAGTAAGAACTCCATAAATATTTATTCACATCCCTCTGCCCCCATGTGTCCTTCCTCCCTTTCTTTGGGTTCTTATACAGTACTTGACATGTATGAGTAGTCATGAATAAAAACTAAATGTTTACTCAGTAAAGGCATGAAGAAAGGAAGGCCTGAAAAAGTGAAAGAAGCCCTGTTCTCATCCCTTCTTGGATGAGTCGTACACCAGCTGACTGACAGACTGGGTCACTCCCTCCTTGCCTCTGTCTGGTTTTCTGCAGACATTGTCATTGTTATGAGCTATCTGTGTGCCGCTGGGAATGCAAAAGTGAACAGGACGTTCTCCGTCCCTTCACCTCACTCTCTTTCCTCTAAGAGTTTTTCTTTTGTTTGCATCTTTTACACTGAAAATGTTTCATAAACATTTATTTTATCTTACAATGTACATGAAACAGCTTTAATATTAAGTGCTATACTAGAAGTACAGAATTAGGTTTAAGATTTCTTTTCAGTTCTTTTTGTTCCTATCTAACGAAATACAGGCCAATTGTGTTCAAATGTCACCTTAAGAGGTTCTTTTCTCTCTGGTTATCAGACCAACATGATGTACAATTAAGATGTTTTTGTTTGTTTTCAGGCTTTATTTTTCCTTGGTTTTGTTTTTTGGAATATGTGAAACATGGTTTACAGAATTCAGAAGTTTATGGTAAAAAAAAGGGGTACTTCCCTGCTGGCTGGTGCTCTGAGGGCAGGTCCCAGAGCTCAGGCCTCGTGCTCACCCCTTTTGTGGGATTCTTACACCCTTAGCTGAGGAAGTGATGTATTACAGCTTCACAGAGGTTCTTCGAACACTTCATGCTTTCAGCCAGGCTTTGCACAGAGGAGGTTCTCTGAAACTGGGGGATGTCTGAAGGCCCTTTGGGTTCCAAGTTTTTTGTCAAATCTACAAGGACCCCACTGATGGGGTGGAGATCACCCACGACTGGGGCTCTTCAGCGGCATAAGTGGAAACGACCTGCTGGGCCACCTGCTGAGAAGGCCGCACTCAGCAGTGGCACAGGCTGTGCACAGCCCAGAGCCAGTGGCAAACCTTCCCAAAGGCGTGCTGTAAGGCCCGCTCTCTTCACATGGGAAGTGACATTTGAGCCCCTGTCCTCCTGAGGGATAGGCAGAGCTTTCTCAGGACATCATTTACAGCCCCCCATATGAACAAAGCTTCCCCCCACCCAGCAAAGAGGAAGACAAGCAGGTTTTAAAAAGAAACATCTGTAGAACACATTGTGACATATGGATAACAGGTTTTGGGGCACATCATCCTCAAGGAGTGCCTGTTGGGATGCCGCCCCCATCCCAGCCCCTCCCCCCAGTCCCTGCCATTTGTGTCACTCCGGATCTTCTTGTTTTTGTAACAAAGTAGACACTGATTTTGACACGACTCTTCCATTTTGAGAGCCAACATGTAAAACATGTAAAAAAATTACTCTTAAAAAGTTTGAAGTGTTAAAAACTTATCACATAAACAGATGAGCTGAACAAATTCTAAGTAAAAAATGGTGAACTTATGCACATAGGAATGTGTACTTTGTCCTCCCTTAACCTGATGGGGCCAATGCTTGGCTCTTTTCAATGGTTCCTGTACTTCTGCCTTCCCTCTGTTTAAATATTCTACAGCATTTGTGCAATTTTGCTACTCATTAATTTCTAAGAGCTTTATAGTCTGGAGTTCATCTGGTCTGCTGATTTCCTGGTTCTTAGAGAAACATTTGTTTTTCCTACTTCCATGTCATGAGAGCCCTGGAAGGACAGTCTCCATGGCCTTCTGTAGTTTTATCCTACAGAGGAGAAGGACATAAACTGTTTTGTCACTTCTCCGGGCCTGGCCAGTTGTTGGTGAGAACGTGCAGATAGGCGGGCCTGGCGACGTTGGCAGAAAGCTGACAGTGTACAATCTATGGTCCTAGGCTGATCCCAGCCAGCAACAGGAGGTCCTACCTGATGTTGTACTTTAAAGCTCTTTGCCAGGAACAGAGTGAATTTTTAGTTTGTATTGGTCAAGCTCCAAGGACCAGGGCATGTCTAGGAAATTCAAGTGAGCATTAGGCAGGTACAAGGAAGTTGTACTTTCCCCACCTGATTCTAAACTGCCCGTCTCTGCCCTTATACAAGGAAGATACAGAGGTAACCCAGAGGTAGACTCTCAGGGGAAGGGGTAAGGCTGGTGAAAAGTGTACACACAGGTAACGTAAAACAAACGTGCAGAAGCCGATGTTGAGGGGTGTTGTCACCCAAAGATCTGGATCCAAACCATATACAAAGTTCTCTCTCTTAGGAGTATGACTTGGAAATGTTACCTGTTTTCTGACCCTCTTCATTCATTTGTAAAAGGAGACTCTCAGGTTTACTTATCTCGATGGGGGGTTATGATAATCAAATGAGGGAACATATACGGGCTGATATAGTTAATAGTGCTCATGGTGATCGGCTTCCTATGGAATGTTATACCTTTCTGATACATCCCTAGACCTATACGTCACAATTGGTTCTTTTTTCTACTGGCGCAACAAGTAAAATTTGGGTTTGGGTCCCTGAAAGTGTGAATGGGTTCTTGGAATCACTGAATTTTGTAATAAGGTGGCTCAATCTTTTGCTTGTCTGTTTGCCCAACAGCGTGCCGTGTAAAAAGTGTGTGGTGGTTGGTAATGGAGGAGTTTTGAAGAATAAGACATTAGGAGGAAAAATTGACTCCTATGATGTAATAATAAGGTAAATATATTTCTCATTTGCTAAACTGGAATTGTTTCAAAACAATGGTTTGCTACTTTAGTACAGCTGGCTTTTTTTTTTTTTAAGATTTTATTGGGGAATTGGGGAAGGGGAACATTGTGTTTTTCCACGACCCATCAGCTCCAAGTCAAGTTGTTGTCCTTCAGTCTTAGTTGTGGAGGGTGAAAGCTCATTTCAAAGTCTAGTCGCCACTTTCAATCTAGTTGCAGGGGCGGGTGGGGGGTGTGCAACCCACCGTCCCATGTGGGAATCAAACCGGCAACCTTGTTAAGAGCACATCCTCTAACCAACTGAACCATCTGGCCGTCTGGCCGCCTATCAGCAGCTCAGTGGCGGCTCAGCTCAGGCACAGCTCACTGGCCCATGTGGGAGTTGAACCGGCAATCCTGTTGCTCAGAGCTCGTACTCTAACCAACTGAGCCACCTGGCCACTCCACAGCTGTGTTTTTAAAGGAAGAGGAGTTGCTTTGATAGTTTTAAGTACATTACACAACCTTGTCTCTCAGTTGTTGACTAGAGTAAGCCTAGATTTCAGGACATTCATTTAGCACATATTTATATTTCTGAAATCCTCTTAATATGCCAGGCATATTAAGTACATACACCAGTACAGGAGATACAGCAGTAAATAAGAACAATGTTCTTGTTCCCTGTGGAGCTTACTTACATTCTAATGAGAGGAAGAACACAGTAATGAAATAAGGAAATATAATAAATGCCATACAATTAAAAATATGTGATAGAGAATGATTGAGTGGATACTTTAGGGTGGACAAGGAGGGGACATCTAAACTGGACTAAGTGACGGCACAATGAGAGTCACATGAAGATCAGGGATGAGCAATGGAGGCAGAGTTTCCTACAGGTTCTCAGGAGGATATGATCCTGGGTTTGAGAGCAGCAGCAAGAAAATCCGTGAGGTAGAAGGGCAGCAGGTTGGGGGTGAGGGTACAATCAGAAGCTGAAGAGGTGGGCAAGATGCAGGCTGTGTAAACTGGGATCAGACTTTGTAAGCTTGGATTTTATAAGTACAGCAGGAAACTGGAAGATTTTTTAGGAGAGCAATTTGATCTGGTTATTTTTAAAATATTCTGACTGTGGCATGGACAACAGAATGTGAGGGATGAGAATGAAAATGAAGCCAGTTAGGTTGCTGTATTCAGGTGGGTGATGGTGGAACAGGGTTGTCATGGCAGAGGAGGGCAGTGGATAGATTGAGACATGTTTCAGAGATAGCGTTATCTGTTATTTGTTGCTGTATTAGATTGGAGCAGAGATGGGATCCCTTTTCCTCGGTTTTTAAGAGATTGGCTAGATCGTGGTACCATCTATTGAGTTGGGGAAGACGAGGGTAGACACAGGTTTAGAGGAGAATCAAAATTTCTGTATGAAAGTTCAGGTTTGAGATGCTTATTAGATTTGCAGTGGTTAAGTCAAGTAGGCAGTTGGATAAACAGGTTCAAGTCTTGGTGGGAACAGATGATAAACTGTATTTACACCATGGACTGGGTGAGATTTCCCAGGGAGAATGAGAGAAAAGAGGGCCCAGGACTGAGTCTTAGAGTATTTAACACCTAAGAGGTTGTACAAAGGAAAAGGAGTAAAAGAGATGGAGAAGATTCACCAGGGAGGTAGGACGAGTCAGGAGGTGATCACAGAAGGCTAGAAAGCAGTGTTTTACGACAGAAAGAGGAATCAACCAAGTCCAGTGGTGGTGAGAGGTCATGCAAGATAAGAACAGAGCTCACCACTGGATTGGCGAGCTCAAGCTCCTTGACACGCGACAAAAGCAGACTTGGAGGCATGAGGTGGGGAGCAGCCCAGCTGGAGTGGGTTGAGGAAAGAATGACAGGTGAGAAAGTAGAGACACCGGCATAGGCAACTCAAGGAATTTTGGTGGGAAGTTGAGAAATGAGATGGTCGCTGGAGATGGTTATGGAATCAAAGGAGGATTTTCTGTTTTGTGTCCTTTTATGAAGGTAGGAGATTCTAGAGCATATTGGTATACTGATGGAAATGAATAAAGAGACTGGTGTGGTGAAGAAAGAGGGGAGCGGGGTCCAGAGCACAGGTGTTGTTGATCGTCTAGAATGGAAAGGAAAACTGGGATTGTGGTTACAGGTAAGAGTCCCATAGGTGGAGTGGTGGGAAAATGAGGACATTTTTTTTCTCAATGAAAGGTTGACATAAAGTCATCATCTGGGGTAAGTTTGTGTGTGTTGGGATGGCTATGGATAATCTTTTGAAGAGTGGGGATGCTTCACACTGGGCAATGCACTAGGATGACCTGGCAGTGTGTGGGTGTTTTGCTGGGTTACAAACTACTGTTTGTTTCTACTACAAACTACTATAGTAGTTTCTATACAAACTACTGTATGTGTTTCTGCATAGTGAGGTCACCTTATTTTGTTTATTATCCATTTTTAGAAAGCTGTGAAAATTTATCCACAAAAGTTTTGAAACACAAATCTCTTTACCTATAATTGTCTAAAATCTGATTGTCCAGAACTACAGCAAGTCCTTGTGGGAAAATGCCGTGGGCACATTATGCAAGTCATTTTAAATGTTAATAAGACTATCTTATATTACAGAGTCAGTGGTAAAACAGTATTTACTCTAGAGGACATTGTTTTGGAACCAAAGCATTCCTTTTAATAGCATGCCTTCACAGTGTGTGCATACATAGTGCATGTCTAACCTTGGCTTTGAACATACACAAACCCAACAGTTCCTCTGTGATTCTTCAGTTCACTCTAGCAACATTCATTTGGCTGTGGCTGTGTATAATACAGCAATTTTATATTGTTATTTTCATAGCATAATGATTTTGATGGGTCTTCACCTTAAATGTGATTCTTGCCTGTCAGTCACTTAGACACACATCCACGTAACCTTGGGCAAGTAACTTTCTCCCTCTGGACTTCCGTGCCCTTATCTGTAAATCCAAGGTTTTGTTGGGATGTCTTCCAAGTTCTCTTTTACCTCTAGCATTCAGTGGTTCTTATGTTCCCATTTGTTTTATTTAGCCTTCAGTTTTCCTGGAGGTAAAACTGAATTACCAGTGACCCCGCAATTAATTGTCAAATACAAATGCAAGTTTCTGCCTTTAATCAAGTAGCTGTGTCACAAAAGGGATTATTTCCTTGGTTGTTATGTGTTGAAGCCTGGTCGATTGCCTTGTGCCTTTAGAGTACTGGATACATGGCTGACGATGTTTATCCAGCTTTGAAACCTCTGAGAACTGTGATGGAAACAGCTCATACTGCACCTGGTCTACATTTCTTGTGTGTTTTACTACCCACAGAATGAATAATGGTCCTGTTTTAGGACATGAAGAGGAAGTGGGGAGAAGGACAACCTTCCGACTTTTTTATCCGGAATCTGTTTTTTCAGATCCCAAACACAGTGATCCTAATACTACGGCGATTCTCACTGCTTTCAAGCCGCATGATTTAAAGTGGCTGTGGGAGCTGCTGTCGGGTGGCAAAATAGTAAGTTGGCAAAATTGATCTGCCTTCCGATTACTTTCAGGGCCCCCCCCCCATAAAAAAAGACAACCACAATGTTTTATTTTCTGTATTCTTTATTTCAGAACACTAATGGTTTTTGGAAGAAACCAGCCTTAAACCTGATCTATAAACCATATCAAATCAGAATATTAGATCCTTTCATTATCAGAACTGCAGCTTATGAACTGCTTAATTTCCCAAAAGTGTTCCCCAAAAATCAGGTACGTATTTTTCTTTGTCCTCTTTCAAACTAAATATCTGGCTGGAGTAGGACAGAGGAACCCTGGTGGTCTTGGAAACTGTGAGAACCACAGCTTATGAGGTGGCTTTTGAGGACCTCGTCTGAGTTAGTGAAATTAGGTATCTGTGGATAGTATCTTTGTTTTTCAGGTTACAAGAACGAATCTTAAGTGGAGGTTTTTTCCTGCCCTTGCAGGGCCTTGCTGCGGTCTCCTCCTCCATGTCCAAATGGCTCCTCTCTCATAACCTCGTCCGCAGTGTTCTGCGGCGAGGGGGCGGGGCTTGAGGGGCGGGCTGTGTTCAGAGGATTAGCAAGGCTGTTTTTGGCACAAGTGCATGGCTTTCAGGCCAAAAAGAATGGTCTGAAGTAATCTGTGATAGTGATATTACAGGAGAAAGTATTTAAAAGGTGAGGAAGGACAGTAAGGTCGTCTGGAAATATTTCTGCAGGCACAGAGACACTGGCACTGAATTCTCAGAAAATGGTAGTTACATCAATATTGATAAGTTTTGAAACTCCACATTCTTTTTTTTTTTTTTTTTTAGATTTTTATTGGGGAATTGGGGGGATGGGAACAGTGCTGGGGAGTTGGGGAAGGGGAACAGACAAGTTGCTGTCGTTTTGTTCTTCAATCTAGTTGTGGAGGATGTTGCTTCACTGGCCCAAGTTGGCACCATCATTGCGCTCTTCTCTGGCGAGGCAGATCAGTCGCCGGCTTCTGGACGGCCGCTCACTGCGGCTGCTGGCCACTCACGCTGGCTGCTGGCCACACACGGTAGCCCATGGCAACCCACTACCACAGGGACTGCAGCCCACACCGTCGCCGGCGACTCATGGCAGCCCAGCTCCAGGTTGAGCTGTTGTTCAGCATCTCAGCTGCGGAGGGCAGTGTCACTGGCCCTCATATGTGGGATCCGAACCGGGGCCCTCTGGCATCCCAAGCGAGTTCTTAACCATCGCGCCACTCGGCCGGCCCGAAACTCCACATTCTTTAGTTAAAATCGTATTGACTTTGACTTTTGTTGCCCTGTTTGTCTACATTCCCAAGAAAACAATGTCTAGATCTGTAGTGGCAGAGATATGTTTTTCATTTGAAGACTGAGTAACTGTATAACATGGTATCTTAGCTGAAATGAAGGGGTTTTTTTTCCCCCCTCTCTTTGTAGTCAGGGAAAATTCCAAGAAACACACGTCATGTATCTTTTCTTTAGCATGATAAAAATTCTAAAGTATTACATGCTTAAAATCAAACAACTTGCAAAGGAATACTAAAAACAAAGAGAACCTCCTTCTCTTTCTTCAATAACTCACATTATCTCCCAAGCTTTTTTGCCTTTTATATCCTTCTAGACTATTTTCTATGCATTTACAAACGCATATGTATACTTTGTTCAATATAATTGCAATTATACCATCAGTATTGTTCTATTTCCCGCTCCACTTAATTAATGATTCCCCTATTTAGAGAAATTTAGATTTGAATCCAGCTTTCCTCTATAAATAACAGAGAAATGTACATGCTTATAAAGATTTTCTGCACACTTGTGCGATTTCTGTAGGATGCCTGAAAATGGAATTCCCAAGTCAAAAAAATAAGTATTTTAAATTGAAACCTATTTGTTAGTAATCTTGAGAGGAAAGGATGGCTTCTTAATAGTTTCTTAGTAATTGTGAGGTGAAAAGGACAACTTCTGAATGTGTTTTGTGATGTTTCAGCTTTTATTTTTCTAAGTGAGGAAGATCAGATTTATCCCTTGCTTTTTTTTTTTTTTAGGTAGTGTCTTTTTAGCTCCGAAAGCACTGAATGACCCTGATCTTATTTAGACATGGTGTTAGAACCAGTTGTACTAAAGTTCCAGTAGGAAGACATGGTGTCCTAGAAGCCAAATCTGTATTTCAGAGAGGTCGGCCATGTCAGATGCCATCCAGAGGTTGAACACAAATAAGAGACCCTGGTTCTGGAAACATGTGGTCATACTGGTGATATGGACCAGAGTAAGAAAGGAAGAAAGCCTGTCTGAATTGGGTTAAAGAGCACAGGGGACACAGGCAAGTGGAGGCAAATCTTTAATGGAGTTTTGCTAGAAAAGGAAGCAGAGAAATGGTTGGGAGAGAACCTAGGATCCAAGACAGTATGTTTCTTTGTTTTTGTTTTTGTTAAAGGTAGATGTGTTTGTAAACTGAAGGGAGTGATTCATTAAAGGAAAACACTGATGATGAGGGGAGAAAGTGGATCATTGAGAGAAGAGATGGGATAAATATAGTGTAGGATTGGAGAGGTTGGCTATAGGTAAAAACAAGGACACCTCATCCATGTAAGAGGAGCACTGAAAATATGGGTAAAGATGAAGGTAGATTTGGAGATATGAAGATGTAGTTCTTGTGCGATTGTTTTGGGTTTTTTAGAAAAATAAGGATTAATTTGTTAATTTGAAGGAAGGAGGCTAGGGCTGCTGGAGGAGCAATATAAAATGGTCATCCTGGAGAGTAGGAATAGAAACTTACTAGGGGAATGTAATTGGATTTCTGGACCTACTGAGTGCCCCCTTGAGACTTTGGTCATAAATGTAATGTGCGACCAAGCAAGTATGCTGTTTTCTCTTGCCCAGTTCTGCTTGGGTGTGGGTTTCACCAGGATTATTAAAATGCTGCCAGGTTGATAACACAGGTACTGTGGGGGATGAGTGCAGAAGAGAACTGAAGGTCTCCATACCGGAATGATGATGATGATGAAGTACTCTAAGGTGTGATGAAAGGAAGCACAGGACATGAAGAGGTACAGGAGAGGGGAAAAGTGATAGGATCAGTGAGGCTGGATGACTCCTAGGTTTTTAACCCAACCATTAACTTCCTTCTGCAGCAGATGGCTGAGGTTTGGGGTGGAGTCACAATAGTGCAGGAGGTAAAGCTTATGCGAAAGCCTGTTAGGCTTCCAGAAAAGCTTGCCTCCCGGTGTTTGATTTTTTTTCTTTTACTCAAAATCATAATATGTAATTTCCATGGGATCTGTATGAAACATTTAATTCAAAGGAAATCTCCTTTAATTGTTGTGTTGAATGTTTAAGATATATTTTGTTTGCCTGTGAAGGCCATCCTACTCAGAATTAAAACTGAATGCCAAGACCCTCATGTCAAATACCTATTATAGCATTCTTCAAGTATATGTATATGGGAAGGGGATGGAGGATTTCTTTTTCTTTTTTTGCTCATGATCCAGTTGAGATTGTGACGTTATTACGTATACATCTGGAATCTTTGTCTTCTAGTCAGATACTTACTAGTACAATTTATCACTGAAGTTACTTGCTTAAAGTTAGTCTTTCCCGAGAACTAAATTATCATAAAATAGAGCTATTTTCAGGCTAATTTATATGAGGCCTTTTACCGTGATCCTATCCATTAGCGACTTAAGCTGTCCTTACATTTCAGACATGGTGGGTTCAGCCTTGGCTTTTTCTACAAGGCGGCAGGATCTTTTTCCTTAAAGCTCCCAGTGTTGTTTCATTTCATGTGTCCTCTGGGCTAAAACTGCAGTTAAGTTTTATTTGAAAGATTTTTCTAAGATTTCAGTCACACTTTATATTCTTTTCAGTTAGGGTATTAAACTGTTTGGGGCTGGAGGCTTAGGGCACAATGAAGGTTTAAATATTTCTCCCCCGATTAAATGTTTATCAGACTAAGCCACCCACATATGCTTTAAGAACAAGTATCTCGTTTGGATTTTTAAAACGTTTTATTTCCTCCCCCAGAAACCCAAACACCCAACGACGGGAATTATCGCCATCACTCTGGCATTTCACATATGTCATGAAGTTCACCTTGCTGGTTTTAAATACAACTTTTCTGACCTCAAGAGTCCTTTGCACTATTACGGGAATGCCACCATGTCTTTGATGAGTAAGGTAAATACACATACATCCTTTGGTACAACCTGTGATCTTTCGAGTTGGGAAGCCTCTTTTCTCTCCTCTCACCATGTCATTTTATTGAGAGAAGAGCTTTTGAGAGCTTGATCGAGCTACCAAGTGCTGAAATTAGGACTCAAGTCCAGAGTTCTTCTTACTACAGCACCAATTCCTAATCTGTGGGCCTCAGACCCTTGGGAGAATCTGTTAGTGTCAAGTATCATCAAACCCACATAGGGACCAAGTCTTATCTTAGATACTGCATCATATTTGCATTAAATATACATACATACAACCTGTTTGAGATATTATAAATTCACCTTAAAGCACTGCCATGCTCACAGTAATTATTTTCATGTCTTATTTCAGTTAAGTAGACAGAAGGTCTATAATATTTTAACCCCATGAAAGAGTCTTCATGGTCAGAAAGCTTGTAAACCTTTTTTTACTAGATCATGCTTCTCTTGAATTAGGGATCAATGGTAGATTTGATCCTTAAAATTTTTATTTTAATTGACTGAGTGTGAAGTTTTCTATTTTCCTAATTCTAACTTAGATTAGTGGCACATCACAAGTGATAAGATTAAAATGTTGTCTGTACACTTTTAATATTGAAATATGAAGGATGTGCTATAAAGGATATCAATATATCCCATGAAATCAGTCCCCTTTAAGTCATCATCCCCAAATGCTAGGTAAACTGCAGTGGTCTAATTCAGGTTAGATCTTAATCCAGTCCTTTGGTGCCCTCCCCGGCAATGTAAGACCAACAGTTGGGTAGCTCACCAGTTAGATGCTGGGACAGACTTCGGGCTCATTTCTCCTCAGCCCTCATCATTCCTGTAGCACATTTGGTATTTCTACAGCCACCTAAAGAACAGAACAGTAAAACACCTGCCTGAGGAAAATTAGGATATCCATCAACAGAGCAGAATTATTTTTTAAAAACACATCTTAAAGTGAACCATGCTTGATAGCAATTATCTCCAGGCTGATTTGAGTTCCAGGTGCTGCTTTTATTAAAGTGATCAACCCATTTGGATTTATAATCTTGGTCTCTAGAGTCCCACCACGATTCAGTAGATTAGGGGACGAGGTGATGTGAGGGAGCCTCTTACTTATGTGATGGTGTAAGTGGAAAGAGTGGGCTTTAGGGAAAGTGTTGGCACATGAATGAGTAAAGACAAAGAAATTAGAAAGGTAACAAGTTAAAAAGTCCACGCCACATGCTACTTGAGGTTTCCATTCGGAAGCTTTTTAGAGACAGCGTATTCTATGGCTGCTGCTGTTAATACTTTTGAGATTGGGAGAAATGGTGGTTTTCTTTTTTTTCTTCTTTAGAATGCATATCACAATGTGACTGCAGAGCAGCTCTTTTTGAAGGACATTATAGAAAAAAACTTTGTAATCAACTTGACTGAAGATTGACTCTACAGACTCAGCAATCAACTTGACTCAAGCCTGACTCTCTAGACTCAGCAGATAACAGTATTAGTTTTATTTTTATACTGCAATTTTTAGTTTATTTTTAAATATGTCAGATGTACATGTCATATATACAGATATTATTACTGCTTGGTGATTCATAACCACCAGCTTAATTTCTGTGAATATATTTAATTTATGAAAACTAAGATATTTAGTTATCAGGGAAATAAGTTTTGATTGCATTATTTTTTAAATAAGGTTAATTTTTCTGAGGTGTTTGGCTTCCTAATAAGTAAGGGGATTTACATTCACTGCAACCAATTTGAATAGAAGATGCCATTTTGAGGGGTATAATTTGGCTCCTGTAAATTGGTGGGGAATTGGCATGTGCTTGTGCCTTGATGTACAAACTAGAAGCACTTCAGGCCTATATCCGATGACTGTTTAGTTCTATTTGAGGAACGTGATTTGAATTTAAAACCAGCCCTGAATACAGGAGCATGGATGGTTATGGAAATCTAAGATCATACTGGTTTAATTAGACTTTTTTCCTTGCAATTAAGTAACCCATGATTATGATGAATAATTAGGTAGAATGAAGACGGTATTTTTTTGTTAAGTTGAAGGAAATAGGCTAAACATGAAATTCTGGATGAGTCCATAGCCAAAGAATGCAATTACTAAAGTCTGGTGACTGAATTATTTTAAAGAAATAAAAAGTTTATACAAAGAAGCTGAGTTAGGCAAGCTCAAGAAAATTCTTAAACGTTGTGTTTTGCCTGGTTTAATTCTTCAAATTTTAAAAGTTTATTATAAGATGAAGAAGACACAAGTAAACCCTTAAAAGTCAAGCTGTTTTTGGATTTAAATGGTATTTTCATGAAAAACCTCATCTTCAAATGAAAAGTGGACCTGACTACTACCTAGGGTGCACCAGAGAAGAATCCAAGCTGATGCAAACAAGCTAGCCCTACAAATGTGGTGAGCTAGTCCCACTTCCATTTTAATGCATATAACTAAAGGCTACAGTGGGGTGGGGTGACAGAGAAAGGAAGAGAACAGAAGTTATAAGAATGATGGAATCATAAGCTGTCAGAAGAGGCATTGATACCGTGCTAAGGTTCGGCTGCCTGCCGCTTGAAAAAGTTAAAAATCAAGAGACATGGTTGGTGGAAAGAAAAGTAGGTTTATTTGGAATGCTGGCATTCTGGGAGGATGGCAGACTCCTGTCCAAAGGCCACCTCCCTGTTTCTAGGCCAGTCAGGAGGTTTCATAGGTACACAGGAAGAAGAATAAAGGAAAGGGGGCAGGGGTCGAGCAGGCAGGTCCGAGGGCTGACATCGCTTCCTGGGGTCTGGTCTGTTTGGAGATGACGTTATTTCCAGACTCTGGACTCAGGCCATCGAGGCCTGGGACTATGTGTCACCAGTAAAAACTGCAATAAATTGTAAATTGGATTTCGGTGTCCGGGCGCCTGAGGATTAGGAAATTGCTCTTTCTAGATTAGGATGTTGTTAATTAATGAGGTATGAGTAGCCTTGAGAAAGAGAACAGAGTTCTTCAGTTAATCAGTGAGGGGAGAAACAAAGAGAAAACAGATGAATATCGGGATGGATCAAACTGCAAACAAAGCCTAATTATAGGTGGCCAGACAGTGAGCTATGTGGTGAGTCAAACCGCAAACTAGTTACATTTAACCATGTTATTGATTCCCTGAATTTCACCCTTGAAGTTGAGAGAGCTGAGAGAGTATCTTTTCAACAACAATTCTCACGGGGAGATAGTGATGGTGTTACTGACAACCAACCTGCCTCTGAAGAGAGTGTATAAAGGGTGAAATATTAGAGCAGAAACAGGAATAAACGAAGTACTCAAAAAGCACTTGGAAGGGCCGGCCAAGTGGTGCGTTGGTTAGGAGTTGGCTTGAAACTCCAGCTCTGAGCAACAGAGCCCCAGTTCGGATCCCACATTAGGCCAGTGATGCTGCGCCCTCTACAGCTAAGATGGTGAACAACAGCTCGACCTGGAGATGAGCTGCCATGAGTTGCCGGCGTAGGCTGCAGTGGAGCTGGCCAGCAGCAGACGTGAGCTTTCGTGAGCTGCCGAGAGCCGCCGTCCAATGGCTGGCGAGCACCTGCCTCACCTGGGAAGAGCGCAATGATAATACCAACATGGGCCAGTGAAGCGACGTCCTCCATAACTAGATTGAAGAACAAAAGGACAGCAACTTGTCTGTTCCCCTTCCCCAGTTCCCCAACGCTGTTCCCCTCCCCCAATTCCTCAATAAAATCTTTAAAGAAAAAAAAAAGACTTGGGAAATTAGTAGTTGTCCTGATCCTAGACAGTAAATATGATCTACGTTCCGTTACTAGCATATGTGTGCCTAGTACTACAGTTTCATTTGGTTTTTCTAATAACTGAGATGGAAAAGGCAGGCACTAGACGAGTCCACGTGTGCAGGGTGACTCCCTCCGACCACATAGCCATCGGTTGCAGCTTGACTGCTGAAGTTCAGTTGGATGTGAAGTAATTCCGGCTTCAAAAAGGATGCTGCTGGCTACAGAAAAAGTCAAAGTCAAAACCAATGGTGGTATTTTCCAAATGTTACTCTGAAGACTCTAATAGTGGCCAAAATATTTCTGACTCATGTCAAAATTGAGGAATTTGGCATTTTGTGTAGTATAAGAAAAGGCTACAAACCTCAAGGTGGTTTTAATTAAGGCAAAAAAAAAAAAAAAAGTCCGAGCAAGACACATATTTACAATTTATTAAAAACACATGAACACATTTAAATCTCACTATTTATACAATCTAAATTCTAGCAACATATACAAATACTGAGTGACTACAGTACATGCCGAGGTAAGAAAAGTACATTCTGAGAGAATATCACTGACACTCAAGCCATTTTTATTTCTAATATGTATTTCAATACGTGTTTTGTTTCCACCTTTCCCAGTGCCAAAAAAAAAAAAAAAAGAGATGAAGAAATTAGTTACAAGTTGGATTACGTGAGAATTGGTGCCACAGTTGACCTAAAAAGAACTTTAATAGCCATCCAACTGTTATTTAGATTATGCAGTTTAGGGACTTCAAGTTCAAAACCAAATGGCAGAACTAATAGGTACATTTTTTTCAGGTAGAGCCTCACTGATTTCTCTTAAGAAGGTGTGAAAAGCATAATCTATTCTAATTGTATCATCTGACACGATGTTTTTATAGCCCTCTTGCTCTCCAGATGACAATGTGGAGCCAAGGCAAGTAAGTTCAAGCTTTATCACTTTCCACTGAATTACAGCCACATTCATATTAAGATGAGCTCACTTTCTGCACACACGCCCCGCCCCCCGCCTTGAGGGGAAAGGCAAATGTATACATAACGTCATAATTTCAATCACTGTATAAATTCTCTATTTGAACCATTTCATAAGCGAATAAACCCATTCTTCAATGCAAAGTGCAAATAGTGAAAATGAACTTAAATAACTGGACTAGACCCTGCATATATAATAGGATCTATTTAGATTTATAGCTTTTAATAAAATATAAATCAGCATTCACAATATCTTATCTTTAACTGTGCTGGTTCCTAAGATCAAGTAACAGTGAAGTCAGTGACATTTTATGAAACGGGTAGTGGCCACACTTACTGCACCACTGTCTGATTCTACTTTTAAAATTGCATTAACAGGAAAAAATTTAATCCAATAAACCACAGTGACTTAAGTCTTTTACATGTTTCAAGCAAAGAATAGAAATTCAAGGAAATTTTGTAAAAACATGGTTACTTACTTCACATTTTCAGTTGTTACTTGATTGTCTCCAAAGCTGTATATGTGTATCAGACATATAAATGTAAAAACAAAACAAAAGCAAAACAAAATCCAAAACTCTAATATGAAATCATACAAATGAATAAAAGGAAAAGTACACAACCAGAACAACCCTTTGTATCAGGCTCAGCTCTCACTTGGAAAGTAAAATATATAAAAGTGGTAAAAACTAGGTATTTGTAAAAATGATTGGTAATTAAAGGACAGCAGAGTGGCAATAGGAATCAAGTCTTAAAACATGCATCATTTAAGAAAACGTTTGCTTTCCAAACAAAAAAAAAAGTTCCATGGGAAAAACAGGTGCACATAATTAAGACAAAAATAGCAAGCATCTTTGGGAAAATGAAATAGTTACTGAAAACATTTCTCTTAAAGCTTCGAAAAGGCATATGATTTGAGGAAAAGTCTATTTATTCTCTGTGTACTAAGGATGAATAAAAAAATAAAGCAATTGGTTTACTCTCTTCCCACCTGAAAGGGGATGACTGCGTTAATACATGTGCTTTACACATTCATATGTTTTAATAAAAGTTCAAAATCTGTGCTTTTTGTTTCAAATATTTTGAAACAAATTATGTATTGGTTTTTTTTAATGAATAAAATTATGCCTCACAGTGTGTCTAGAAAAGTAAAAGCAGATGAAAATAAAACCAACAAAATCATACAACTAGAGGGCAGGGAGGCTGTAGAAATAAACAGTTGTATTTTGAAGCAATGTTTTAGATACTGATATACTCATGGAAGCAGCAAAATGAAGACTGTTCATCTTTAGTAAAATTGAGCAAATTATGGCAACATTATAATCTGGTGGCCCAGGCCAACAGAAATGACTAGAACCTAATGGAAAGGTCCATTTCAATATTAAGTCTACAAACTAAGGTTTATAGAAGGAGGGATATCAAATTTTAATCATATGGTCGGTTTCTCATGTCATGTTGCCAGTCTAAAGACTTTTCAACATGGTTTTTACATTATAGGCTAATAAATAGCAGATGATTTCTACTTCACCATCTAAAACTAGTTCTGGGCAAGTAGTGACAAGGAAGCTGCCCAGAGGTATCAAAAACTAGACATGAATTTTCACGTGCTAGGATGCTGTCACATCTCTTCTTTAGGTATGATTGATATAAAGAACTACTCACACCTCTCACTGCACAGACGAGGGCACAAGGGCACAATTACGCAGAGTTGAAGAATACATGTTGTGTTTATAGTTCTTGTAATAGTTTACTGTGGAAAACTGAAATTCAGAAGTATTTTTTTATTTGACTAAAAATAAAAAAATATCTTGATTCAAAGGAAAATCTGTATCTAGTCAATTCCGGTAATTTTTTGTTTTAAGGTAATTCACTCGTATATTACTTCTGAGGAATGATTTTTGCCTTTCACTGTGGCAAATATAAGCAGGTCACATTTGCAGTGTCCACTCAGAAGCCCTCAACTTTTCACAGCTCTCCTAGGAACAATCCCATTG